CATTGAGTAAATGCATGTGCTACCAACACTAACAAAACCCACAAGAGTTTCAGAGACTAGGTTTCCCCACTGACCAGATTGGACCAAACCAATCCCCTTTAAATCAGGGATAATCACAGATAATACCACAGACCCTACCCCCACCCTTTTTCTAACAAAATCTTTGGGAAATTACCCCAAGACACTACTAAAGTCACTTTTCCGACTTTCCCAAAGAGGCAACCATTAATAACTTCACACAGCAGTGGCAAACAGGACGGCATACTGAGCAGAAATCTATAAATAAATTTACGAATTTTCTAAAAAAGACCCAATACCTCTAAACAAGCACTGCCCAAAAAATTAAAAAGATGAAGCAAAAAACGAACATCCCTGGGAACCCAGCCCTCAAATCCATTTAAAGCAAACACCATACAAAAAAAAAGTACAGAATGGGCCTAAACCCGGACCAAACAAAAGTTCCCTTTAGCCAACCAGCCTGAAAGAAGGGGTAAAAAATTATTTTGAAAACAGATTATCAATTTAAAAGGTGATATAAAAAAGACCTGGAAAACCCTATAGAAACCTAGGAACAAAAAAAATATCCGAATAGCCAATTGAACTAACAAAACCAATGAGCCCCCAAACTCTCACCAAATTTAACAGAAACAGACCCAATGTTTTCTTTCCACCCCAGGAAAAAACCTGCCCAAAAAAACCCAAGCCAAATACCCCAACCAAAGACTCCTCACTGCAACTACCCGAACACTTGTTCCCAGCTCCGACTAACCCAAAAGAAGTCTCCCCCTTTTTATAAAACACTAAAAAAAAAACAGGAGATTTAAATACTTTACCACCCCTTTTTAAAACAAAAGTTCGCAAATTTTCACCAAACTTTTTCAACACCTTTAACAAAATCCATCCCAAAACCTCACCTTCCCTACAGTTTCAAAAAGCGAGGGCACCCCGAACCATAAAGGAGGAGACCAAACAGTTTTTAAAACTATAGGCCCAAAACCAACTTTCACCCCCCTCTCTAAAATCTTCAAAAATTAAATTCATAAGCCAATTTATTCCCCCCATCTCCCCAAACATATGAACCCCCGTCATTTGGGGTTTAGGCCTAAAAAAATACAAAGATGCATTACACACATGCAGAACAAAAAAACACAGGGCAAGAAAAAAAGAATCCCACGGGGGTTTCATTGATTTTTCGTAAAGCTTTTGATACAGTTGACATGATTTTTCTCAACATAAATTGTCGCACTATGGTAAAGAGGGGACTCCCTCAACTACCAAAAATAAACCCCAGCAACAGAAGCCGTATTGTACACAAATGGAGCAACTCTTTCCCCACAGCCCTTACAGTTGTGTCCCACAGGAAACGCCTTGGCCCTCTTCTCTTTCTCATTACATAAATGACCTACCAAATGCATCGCAACTGCTCAAACCCACACTATTTGCAGTGACATACATACGCTTCTCTTTCCCCAAACCCCCCATGTAGCCAATCTGTAATACCCATCACAAAAAAAATATTACCGGATGTGATAACAAACTTACCTCAACATTTACAAAAAATACTTCATTTAGTTTGGAACAGAGCAAAAGTGTCCCTCTTTAAAATAATGATAAATGGAACCCTATCCCAAAAACTCACAGAGGGAAAATTTTAGAATCCACATTTTAAAGACTCAAATTTTTAAAACATGACAACAAATTTCCAAGAAAATTCCCAGACCGAGGGGATACTACAAAATCGGAAAATTCCACTCGCCCTCCCGGCCCATATCCTCATTTTCCCCTATCTCAATATGGAAATTTGTGCAGGGGCTACGACAAAAACCCTATCAACCATTTAAATTTCCCCCCCCAAAAAGGGTGCAGTCAAATGATAAAAATTCCCCCTCAACAGGGCCACTCCACAATATTCAAAAAATCTAAACCTCCACCCTACAAAACACCATACTTTTAGTACCCCACATAATAGAACACTTTAAATCAGATAAAACCCTCCCCTCAAATGTCTCCTTACCAACCTCAACACAACACATGACCATAACACAAGACACAGATCACTCTTTGATGTTCCTCGTGTCCATCTCACGCTATGCAAAAGCTCAGTGCACATAAAAGGCCCAAAAATCTGGAATTCACTACCTGTGAATATAAAAGAAACACTGTCTGCTTATAAATTCAAGTCTCTTCTTAAAAATCACTTACTCACAAACAACTAAATAAATACTGAATAATTGTATCTCATAAATGTTTAACCTATGACCCAATCAAACTTTATTTTTAATTACATTACCTAACAGAATACTCCATTCTACTGAATGCTCAGCAACACAGTAAATGACCATATGACCTGTCTTTGTGCTTAATTGTTATCTGTTTACAATAATGTTTACCACTGAATATATCATTGCTTAGTTAATCTTAAGTTAATTTTAAGCCTGCCCATAATGCTCTGCATACAAGGGGCTTTGGCGTGTTATATATCTTTGTACTTCTATGTATAATGTCCAAATTAATAATAAATAAATAAATAAATACCAATAGACCCCTGGCTGTCGTTAGCAGGCACTGGACAGGCACCTAACGTTAGTACCTGACCAGCAGGCCTGTGGGTTGTACGTTGAACTGCGTGCGACTAGTTGTAACAGCCTGGTTGATCAGGTCTTGGTCCACCATGAGGCCTGGTCACAGACCATACCGAGGGGCGTTGACCCCCCTGAGTATACTCCTGAGGTTGCAGGCCACGGCGACCACTTGTTTAGCCAGCTCCTGACTTATGAAAGAATAGTTTTTACTATTACCTCGCGTCAGTTAGTAAAAAAAACGATGTTGTATACAGGGGAAACAATAAGAAATAAACTTATGCATAGAAAAATCCCGAAGTAGCGCAATTTACGTGAATTTTTTTACCTACTGAGGTGTGCGCGCGTCTTCCCGAGTATCTCGAAAGTAAGATTTTGACCTGGAGTTTACCTGGAGGGTTTTTGGGGTCAATGCCGATGCAGCCAGGTCTGAGACCAGGCCTCATGGTGGATCAGGGTCTGATAAACCAAGCTGTTACTGCTGGGCGCACGCAAGCTGACGCACGAGCCACAGCCCCGGTTGGTCAGGCACTGACTTTAGGTGCTTGTCCAGTGCCTTCTTGAAGACAGCCAGAGGTCTATTGATGTGGAAAATTAAATTTACCTGGATTGTGAAGGCTTACTCAGCCCTGTAACAACTTCAGACAGTATTACCAAGGCTGGCTCCTCCTCAGGAAAATAAGTGAATAGAAAAAGAAATAATAACAACAAACATAAACCTTTTATTAAACAGAAAATACAAAAACACTTAAATATGAAATATAATCCTACATTATAAAATGAAAAAGAACAAATATAAAGATACACTGAATTCAATGCTAATATCTATAAAGGTGTCTAGTGTTGGTGACACTGAGTGTTGTTGAAATCGTAGCAGTTGCTGATGCTGGGGGGACGCAGGTGTTGGTTTATCAGACCCACCGGTTCGTTCTTTCAAATATAGCCTTGGAGTCTTCATCCCTGATGACAGGAAAGCAGATTCTTCACTGCTGGCAAGGAAAGGGGTTACTCCTGCAATTTCATACAGGGTGCCCAGGAAATTTAAATCCAAAAGAGGGGAAGTCTCGAGGACGTTTAGTCCATGCTCCATCATTCTACTTGTTGATTGGCAGGTGACCTCTCTGTCATCCAAGCTGAAAGATAGACAGGTTTACCCACTACTTAAAAATCATCTCCATGATAATACAATACCTAAAAGATGTGGTGATTATGACATCAGTCCAACTAGAGGAAGAGAAAAAGGAGGCAAGACGGAAAGGACTAAGTTTATTAATTGGTCAAAAGTGATAGCATTTTAACCAATAATCCTCTAGAATACAAGGAGGCATGTATTTTACAGTAGTGCTGGAGCTTTGAGTCTAGTTATTACTGTTTGACCAGAGCCCACACGTCACCTAACGAGGGGGGGGGAAAGAGGAAGGGAATAAGCGGGAGCTAGACTGACCCTACCTTAACAAGCACCAGCAGATCAAACTACAATTTCGTGGTGGGGAAAAAAGGCAAGAATGTGGAGCTTGACTTACCCTAAACCTTAAAAGTTAGCCGGCAAATGAAACTATCACTTTACGGGAGGGGAATAAAAGGCGGGAATCATGCGGGACTTGACTTACCCTACCTTAACAAGTAGCCGTTCAATGAAACTAATTGTTAATGAAATACTCCCTCTCTACTCCTATCTAATTGAACTTTTCCCTCACACACCCCCCATACCAAGACTTATAGTCGAAGGAGTATAAGAAGTAATAGGCGAGGAAAAAGTCTAACAAATTTGAAGCGCGTATGGCTAAAAATCTTCTACAAACTGTCACGACTTAACCAGTCGAGAAATAATTGATGAAACACATTATATACACAAAATGGAACTTTAAAAGCCTTGAGTGTCCAATATCCAACTCAGAGGCGACTGTTGGTTCCCTTAAAATTTTCTAGGTATATCAAAGGTTTTGTGGTCCATTTCTAAAATTATTACATTTTCCCAGCAAAATAAAATTAATTTTGAGATTCCCCACACAAGGACCAAACATTCCTTTTCTATGTGGAGTATCTCGTTTCATGCAGGACAGGAGTTTCCGGGCTTATGGAAGCATACAGGGAAGGGAGTACTTATCATGGTATTGTATAGCACCGCACCTAAGGCCAGTATTGAGGCATCAGTGTCTCAAGCAAAATGTTTTATTAATATCCTGGGAATCCTTAAGTACGAGGGTCTTTTGAAAATCCTTTTAATCTCATTAAACTTACCCGAGCTACGCGGAAAGTTCCAAGAGGTTCCTCACAACTTTTTTAAGGAAGTCGTGATAAGATGCCTGTAAGATCAGTAAGGTTTGGGAAACCCGTGCATAAAAATTTACTGAACACCAAGAAAGCTACGCTATGAACTTCTTGTTATGGGGAATTTAAATTCCTAATAAAGCATTGATCTTACGGGGAGAGCTGCAAGAGAGTTTATTGGCAAGAATCAGTCAAGATATCTAATCCTGTCTACCCAAGGAACATTTCTTCGGCTTGGCAGTGAGGCCATGTGAGCTTAACCTATGCAAAACTGATGTTAATGTTGATAGTTTGCCCTCAACGTAAGATGTCATTACGTAAAAGTTATCAAAATAAACTGAAACATTTGGCATATTACCCAAACCTTTCCCACATCAGTCCTCACGTAGGTAGCACAGTTCAAGTTTACCAAACCGCGAAGGACATAGTTCTATACTGCACAGTCTTGGTGTGTAGGAAAAGCGGTGTACTGCTTAGGAATAAGGATCTAACATTACTTTATGATATGCTGTGCAATATCAATCTCTGAAAAGAAGGAAGCATCATACAATTTGCGTAATCCTATCTATTTAGGGCATAGGCTCATCATCCACCGCGTTATAGCAATAAGGCCTTGAAGTCAATAGCATCTATATGAATTAATCCACCTTCTTAACCATGACTACTGGTGAACAATATGAAGATACTGAAGGTTCATGATCTTTAGTGTTTAATAATTTGTCTATCTCTCGGTCAAATGCATCCCTAAGGGTAACTGAACTGAGTCATAATTTTTCGTTTGATAGATTGTTCGTCCCTAATCAATCTATGACTACCGTGAGGTAACAACCTGGAATTCAGTAAAGGACGACAAGAAAGTTTACTCACACATTGAAGTAGTTCAAGTCTCTTATTAGTCATCCAAAGATTCATTATATTAATGTTGTTGTGCCGAAGGTCAAAAGTCACCAATTCATGAAGTTCTTCATCATAGTACTGTAAACGTTAGGAGGTTCAATTACGCACACCTTACATTCCTTCATTGTCTTATCAAGTTCGTTGTGGAAAAAACTGAAGTCAAGTTATTAAGGCAGTTAACCGAATTCTTCAGTAATATTTCTTAAGGAGGTTATGATATGATATAGCCTTAGGTTTCCCCATGACTTCTATGAGGTAGTCAACTTCCACAAATTTTTTAATACTTTACATGGACCTTTCCATGCTACTATATATTTTATTTGACGTGATCGGCAAAAAGTACATAGAACTTACATCCCCTACTTTAAAAACTTCTCCTTGACTTTATGGAATGAAAATAGGTTTTGTTTATGGTCCATTGACAAGCTAGGTTTTTTCGAAACTATGGTCAGATGGTCCAGCCTCAAGTTTGGATCTAAGTCAAGGAGAAACTGGTAAGAAGACTGAGCACACACTCACCTCCTCATCTAACCATAAGTCATGAAGGATTGGACACTGCCTCTGGCCTGTCTACCATAGACGAAGTACAAAAGATTTTGGAAAAACCCCAAGAGTCCACTGGAACTCCCTCATGGCACACAAGAGCACAGGGTAGATACGATTCCACTCTTAAGTTTTAAGGGAGCAAAGTTTCCTTAAAATTGACTTTTAGAATCGAATGCTGGCGCTCACATCCTCCGATTACAGATGGGAAGAGACTGGGTGTGGTGAAGAAGGCTCACTCCAGAATTTTTGGTATAGATTGTTGCATAAGTCAGTTGTAACTGTGTCCACGGTCAGACAAAAATGTTCTCTAGGGCTGCCCACTCTGGAGAAATGGACAAAAGGGCTTCAGCCACCTCTGTAGTGGTTATGGTATTTCAGGGTATGCTTCAGGAAAGCTCGATGCATAAACAACTAATGTTGATATATATCATGTCCCCCAGATGAAATGGAGATATGGGGACCACGATGTTCAATAGAGCTACGTCTCTCAAAAGGTCCCGTAAAGACAGGCATTTTGACCATAGGTACTCGCCTGGACTTCGGAGGATTGACAGTTGGACAAACCTTACAAAAACGATCTTACAATAGGTAGTGAAATCTGAGGACATTGTTTGGCCAAAAATATGTTTCGCTAATTTTATTTAAGGTTTACATGCGAGAAATGTCCGGCCACTGGCAGGTCCATGAGCCATTTTAAGAACAAAATCTGCTTCTGCATAGACTTGGAACAACTAAGATGGAAATATCTATCTCATCGTAATTTAATTTGAATACTGACTTGTACAAGATACCTTTTATAAATATTCAAATTTATATGAAAAGTTTTTCCTTGGATAACTTGATTTTTGTTTAGCGGCATTATGGCAATTTCTGAAGAGATAGTGGCAATTTACGTTGTAAATAGAACAAAGGAAGTCCTCGATACATCTAAATGCTTAAAGTCAGGAAAAATCAAAGAATTAGATAGTAGGAGAAAGTCCCTGGCTTTGGTCTGAGCCCTAGTCAAGACATTTAAGGTATCGGAAGTGATTATCTTCACTTCATCTAACAAGTGAACCGGTGAACCGACTACCTCGCTTTCGAGAGTAATCATCACTGGTTTTAATCCACATGAAACTCACGAGACATTGTCTCAGTCTGAACTTTCGAGGGACTTCTCTGACTCTACAGAAAGATGATCTGAAACGCCCTATGTCCATCTTTGGTGATGAAAGGTCCAACCTCAGAAGGAAGAATGTCACCTATTTACATTACCTATTAGTACGGACAAGAAAGTTGATGGGAGCGTAGTACGGCATTCAGACCAACCTGGAACCATTTAGAGACCTAATGTAACAACGGATGATAGAAAAGTGTCCGTAACGGCCCAAGTAGTCTGACAGTATAGCAGAGGAATGAGTTTTTCTTTAAGAGTTAGGGAAAAGCTTATCAGAAATGACTAATACATGTGCATCCATCTGTCTCGTAAAATTGTAGATACATTAAGTCCCATTAACTGTTTCCTAACAAAGGGTGCATGGTCTTACGTCTTTTAAACATCTTCCAACTTTTGGACCTTCTTAGAAGGACAGTCTGGACGTTTATGTCCTTAACACCACACAAATGTCACAACAGGAATAAAAGAAGTCATTTCACTTTCCAATAGAGGCTTTTGATTTCTTAAGGTCTTAATGAACCTTGCCCTTTAGGTTCGATCCCTTTAGGTCTTTTATATGAATTGTGAGCCTTACATACAGTCAGCAGCCTCAGCAACTTCCTCACTTAAATCACAGGTTACGTTCTACTGATGAATGTTCATAGTCTATTGGGAAGAGCTGTCAGGAACTGGTTTCAGCAACCATGAAGTCTCTAAGAGATTCATAACTGCGATTAATATCTGACTCTCTATCCAAAAGTCGAACGGCGCGACGAAAGATTGTTACCTGTAACTGCTGAAAGTTCTGGCCAGGCTGTAAGGTGGCATACCTGAAATCTTTCCTGTAAGAATTAGTGGTTTTTTGATATCTTTTAAGGATTGCCTTTCTCAGTAGTTATAATTAACCTATGATATCCTGCGACACAGTTTGTCATAATCATTCAAGGCTGTAACCAGAAAAATAACCATCCTAACTCTTGTAGCCCAGGTGTTCAGCAGGCCATTCACAGAGGGTAGCATAATTTTCAAACCTGATAATGTATAATTATGTCATCCCCTTGTGAAGAGGTAAATTAGTGTTGGAATATGTGGCACTGATGGCACATTGTTCCATTACTTCTCCTCAAATTGTTTGTTGAGTAAAAGTTAACTTTTTATCCCTAAATTCAAGCGAGATTTTTCGAGCTTGCGTGATTCCATTTCTCTCTCTATAACTCATGTTCTCTAGCTTTTTTCCTCACCTTCTCAAATCCATTGCTCTTCCACAAGATCTCTTAATTTAACCGTTCCTCACATATCTTAGTTTTCCTCACGTTTTTTAGTTTGTTCCTCATGTTCCCAAATTTTTGCTTTTTCCTCAATTCTTTTAAATTTTTAACTGTTCTTCATTACTCTAGCTCTCTCCTCACGATCAAAATCTACAGCTCCTTTTTTCTTCTCTCCCTTTTTGCTTTCTTGGATTTTTCTCCAATTCTCTCTCTCCTTTTTCTCTTTTTCCTTTTGATTCCCCTCTCTCCTTTTCTTTTCTCTTTTTCTATTTCTCCTTTTTCTCATTTTCTTTTCTCTTTCCCCTTTTGACTGTATTTCTTTCTCCCCAAATTCTCTCCTTTCAAGTCTTTTTCCCGGGTCTTAGCATTAATAAAGATTCTAAATTTTTCCCCTGTTATTCCTAACTTACTTCCCGCATTCATCCAAAACTGTATTTCCCCCATGCTTGCAAGAAAAACTTAACTATCAGGGGGAAAAGAAACGGGTATTAAAGAAAACAGAGGGTTCAATTTCCCGCTCCGCTCAAAAAGTAAATAAACCGAGGGGTTTGATCCCTACTTCAATTAAACAAAATTATTAAATTTAAAAAGAAGGGTTTTTATCCTCTCCGACAAAACAGTAAGTAGAAGGGGTCACTTGACCATCCAATCTTCTCACCAACAAATCAAGAGTGTCCTATGACAGTTCCCTTGATATAATAAAGAGCTCAATGAAACAAGTTGTCACTGGAAAATCTCGGGTCCCTAGAGTCTAATCCTCCAAAGTGTTTCAAGCTCACACAAAAATAGATGGCAGAATTAACTAGTATTCCTGCCTTGACTTGACTTACAATAAATTGAGACTAACAATCACCAAATCTTTTAAATACCTGTACTGTAGTCCTACCATAGAGAATGATTACTCATGGCTGGTGGTAACCATGCTTGCAAGAATAACTTAAACTATCAGGGGAAATGAAACGGGTATTAAAGAAAACGGAGGGTTCAATTCCTGCTCCGCTTTAATCAGGTTACGTTCTCCGATGAATGTTCATATCTGATGGGGAAGAGCTGTCAGGAACTGGTCAGCAACCATGAAGTCTCTAAGAGATTCATAACTGCGATCAATTCCTGAACTCTCTATCCAAAAGTCGAACAAACGAAAGAGTGTTACCTGTAACTGCTGAAAGTTCTGGCCAGGCTGTAAGGTGGCATACCTGAAATCTTTCCTGTAAGAATTATTGGTTTTATGATATGCTTTAAGGATTGCCTTCTTCAGTAGGTTATAATTACATATGATATCCTGCGACAAAGTTGCATAGATATTCAAGGCTGTACCAGAAAATAACATTCCTAACCTGGTAGTCCAGGTGTCAGCAGGCCATTCACAGAGGGTAGCAGTATTTTCAAACCTAATAATGTATGAAGTTATGTCTTCCCCCTCTGTGAAGGGAGGTAAATTAGGTGTTGGAATATGTGCACTGACTGCACGTTGTTCCATTACTTCTTCCTCTAATTGTTGTTGTGTAAAAGTTAACTTTTTATTCTCTAATTCAAGGCGAGATTTTTCGAGCTTGTGATCCTTTTCTCTCTCTATTAACTCATGTTCTCTAGCTTTTTCCTCAACTTCTCTATCCTTTGCTCTTTCCTCAAGTTCTCTTAATTTAACCTGTTCCTCACATATCTTAGTTTGTTCCTCACGTATTTTAGCTTGTTCCTCATGTTCCCTATCTTTGCTCTTTCCTCAAGTTCTCTTAATTTAACTTGTTCTTCATGTACTCTAGCTCTCTCCTCACGATCAAGTCTATCACGCTCCTTTTTGTCTTCTCTCTCTCTTTCTGTCTTTCTTGGATTTCTCTCTCAATTCTCTCTCTCTCCTTTTTCTCTTCTCTTTCGATTCTCTCTCTCTCCTTTTCTTCTTCTCTTTCTATTCTCTCTCTCTCATTTTCTTCTTCTCTTTCCCTTTCTAACTGTCTTTCTTCTCTCTCAATTCTCTCTCTTTCAAGTCTTTCCTGGATCTTAGCATTAATGAAAGATTCTAAATTTTTCCCTGTTATTCCTAACTTACTTCCAGCATTCATCCAAAACTGGTATTCCTCCATGCTTGCAAGAATAACTTAAACTATCCGGGGAAATGAAACGGGTATTAAAGAAAACGGAGGGTTCAATTCCTGCTCCGCTCAAACTGTAAATAAACCAGTGGGCTCGATCCCTACTTCAATTAAACAATATGTATTAATTAAAACGAAGGGTTCTATGCCGTCTCCGAGCAAACAGTAAGTAGAATGGGGTCACTTGACCATCCAATCTTCTCACCAACAAATCAAGAGTGTCCTATGACAGTTCCCTTGATATAATAAAGAGCTCAATGAAACAAATTGTCACTGGAAAATCTCGGGTCCCTAGAGTCTAATCCTCCAAAGTGTTTCAAGCTCACACAAAAATAGATGGTAGAATTAACTAGTATTCCTGCCTTGACTTGACTTACAATAAATTGAGACTAACAATCACCAAATCTTTTAAATACCTGTACTGTAGTCCTACCATAGAGAATGATTACTCATGGCTGGTGGTAACCGTCTGTGGTATGCGGCGTTGAAGTTCCAATGGTAGATTCGAGATGGAGTTGAATCTTGATTCAGATGAGTTGATCCTGGCAAGGTCGCCACTTGTGAAGGCTTACTCAGCCCTGTAACAACTTCAGACAGTATTACCAGGGCTGGCTCCTCCTCAGTAAAATTAATGAATAGAAAAAGAAATAATAACAGACAAACATAAACACTTTATTATATAGAAAATATAAAATATAAAATACTTAAATATGAAATATTAATCCTACATTAAAGAAAATGAAAAATGAAAAATGTAAATGATAACTGAATTCAACGCTAATATATATAGAGGTGTCTGGTGTTGGTGACACTGAGTGTTGAAATCGTAGCCATTGCCGATGATGGGGGGTTGGTCGCAAGGTGTTGGTTACAACCCACTGGCTAGTTCTTCACAGTATAGCCTTGAGTATTATATCCTGATGACAGGAAAGCAGGTCCTTTACCGCTGCAATGATGAGGGGTTACGTCCTGCAATTTCATACAGGTGCACAGGTGATTAAATCCAAAAAGGGGAAGTCTCAGGACGTTAGTCCATCTCCATCAGTTCTGCTCGTTGATTGGCAGGTGACCCTCTCTGTCATCCATGCTGGAAAGATAGACAGGTTACCCACTGCTTAAGAAATCACTCTCCATGATAAGTACAATACCTAAAAGATGTGGTGATTATTACAACAGTCAACCTAGAGCAAGACTGAAAGGACTAAGTTTATTATTGGTCAAAAGTGAAGCTTTCAACCAATAAATCCACTAGAATACAAGGCAGGCATGTACTTACAGTAGTGCTGGGAGCTGTGAGTCTAGTGATTACTGTTTGGACCGGAGCCCCACACGTCACCTTTCGGGGGGGGGGGGGAAGGAGGGGAAGGGATAGCGGGAGCTAGACTGACCCTACCTTAACAAGCAGCCGGCAGTCAAACTATCACTTTCGGGGTGGGGGAAAAAGGCGGGGATAGCGGGAGCTTGACTTACCCTACCTTAACAAGTAGCCGGCAATGAAACTATTGTTACTATATACTCCCTCGCTACTCCTATCTATTGAACTTTTCCCTCACACTCATTATCTATCCTATCATTTTCCTAGCGGATGAGGTAGATACATTGTTGTGGTCTTTCAAGGCGAGATCCTCAAACATCATAACTCCCAGATCCTTAACATTATTTTTCTGCTCTATTGTATGGTTAGAATTTGTCGTAAACCCTGATACATTTTTAATTTCATGTTTCCCATATCTGAGTAGTTGAAATTTCTCTTTATTGAACTTCATATTGTTTTGAGTGGCCCATTCGAAGATTTGGCTGATGTTCACTTGTAGTCTCGCGGTGTCTTCGATGGAGGTCACTGTCATGGTGATCCGGGTGTCATCCGCAAAGGATGACACCCTTTGTAAGAAATGAGGATGAGGAATATAATGGGAGCGAGTACTGTGCCTTGTGGAACAGAGCTTCTTACCGTGGCTGCCTGGGACTTTACTCTGTTTACTATTATTCTTTGTGCTCTATTTATCAGGAAGTTGTAGATCCATCTACCAACTTTTCCCGTTATTCCTTTGTCACGCATTTCGTGTGCTATTACACCATGGTCACACTTGTCGAAAGCTTTTGCAAAGTATGTTGCTTGAAGCTGCGCATTTATTAATGATTATATTGAAAACAATTTTACAGACAATATGAAACAAAGTATGTTTGATTTTTTTGGTGTACAGCCATTGGGAATATCTCGAATATATTTTTATTTTGTGGTGGGGCCGGGGGGGAGGAATGGCAGATATTTTGGAGAGTGTCAAAAGCGTACCAAATGTATTTTTTTCGGCATGAAGATAAGGTATATTACATTCATTCCTTCCATCAAAATTTTAGACGTATTCTAAGAGTGAGGAGTGTCCGCAGAGCCACTCCTAGTGCCAGTCTGACTCAGCTTGCTGCCAAGTGCCATACCTGGAGAGGGTTCCAGAGGTCAACGCCCCCGCGGCCCGGTCTGTGACCAAGCCTCACGGTGGATCAGGGCCTGATCAGCCAGGCTGTTACTGTTGGCAGCACAAAACCCGACGTACGAACCACAGCCCGGCTCGTCAGGTACTGACTTTTGATGCCCGTCCAGTGCCTGCTTGAAAACAGCCAGGAGACTATTGGTAATCCCCCTTATGTATGCTGGGAGGCATTTGAACAGTCTTGGGCTCGTCACACTTTTTGTGTTGTCTCATATCGTGCTAGTGTCACCCCTGCTTTTCATTTGGGGGATGTTGCATCGTCTGGTGAGTCTTTTCCTCTCATAGGGAGTGATTTTCGTGTGCAAGTTTGGTACTAATCCCTCTAGGATTTTCCAGGAGTATATAATCATGTAACTCTCCTGCCTACGTTCTAGGGAGTACAGGTTGAGGAACTTCAAACGTTCCCAGTAATTGAAGTGTTTTATCGTAGTTATGCTCGCCATGAAGGTTCTCTGTACATTTTCTAGGTCAGCAATTTCACCTGCCTTGAAAGGTGATGTTACTGCGCAGCAATATTCCAGCCTAGATAGAACAAGCGACCTGAGGAGCGTTATCATGGGCTTGGCATCCCTAGCTTTGAAAGTTCTCATTTTCCATAATCAGTAAAAAAAAAATTCTCAATTGTTTTTTGGCCAATCTTATGGAAACTTTGTCACATTCCTCTACATATATGCTTCTAAACGTTCACCAGAAAGGAAAAAAAATCGGACGAAAAATAACGAAAGAAAAAATTGGATCACAGGCCCCTGAAGACATCCCTTACTCTACTTCTCCTGTTCCACCCCATCTCGACTTGTTAGATTCCTCCAAACCCTCACCTATTTATCCCTTTTCCTCCAAATTCTCTCACATCTCCAGCTTCTTACCTTCACTCTCACCTTCTTTACTGATATATGCTCCCTCTTCTCTCTGTGGTAGATATCATCTATGTCACCTTTCTGTCTCCTGATATGCTCCTTCTGCGCTTCAGCGACGGAGATAAGATGCTTGCTGGACTCATGGGTGGGCGTGTGCTGCTCCCTGTCACAACATGACACTGTTCTCTGTGTTATACAAATGAATGTTAGTGAGTGTTGTGGTGAATGTTGGTGTTAAGGCAAAGTTGGTGTAGTTTTGTGTGTTAGTTATATGTGTTGAGGAAGGGCTGATGTGAAGTTAGTGGCAGGTGTTGGTGTCTGGTGTAAGTAGTGGTGGAAGTTATTGAAGTTAGAAGTGGTAATAATGATTGGGGTTGTAGAGTTAGTAAGGTGTTATGGTGTATGGTGTATGATAGACCGTTTCCCACCAAGATATTTTGGCCCAAAAAAGAAAAACTTTCATCATTCACTCCATCACTGTCTTGCCAGAGGCGTGTTTACATTACAGTTTATAAAACTGCAACATTAACACCCCTCCTTCAGAGTGCAGACACTGTACTTCCCATCTCCAGGACTCAAGTCCGGCCTGCCGGTTTCATTGAATCCCTTCATAAATGTTACTTTGCTCACACTCCAACAGCACGCCAAATCCTGTAGATGAATGGTTCAGAGAACCATTCAGAGAACGTTCAGAGAATGTTTCCTCAATAAAGATACCCAAGTGTTGCACATGTGTCTAATTTAACAACCACGTCAAATCCTAAAAACCATTTGTCTCCAATTGCTGCTGTCCAACATGCCCATGCATACTTGCTGGAAATCCAAGCCCCTTGCACACAAAACTTCTTTTACTCCCTCCCTCTAACCTGACCCCTACCCTGCCTTCCCTTTAATACATATTTATACACTCTCGAAGTCATTCTATTTTGTTCCATCCTCTAAACATGTCCGAACCATCTCAAAAACCCCTCCTCAGCTTTCTGGATAATAGTTTTGGTAATCCTGCACCTCCTCTTAATTTCCAAACTACCAATTCTCAATTCTCTGCATTATATTCACACCACACATTGCCCTCAGACACGACATCTATACTGCCTGCATTTTTTTTATTAAATTAAAAGAGGGTTACATAACGCCATAACAGAGGTCGTGACAAGGTTTATGGAAGAGGATATATAATACACGTTTAGCGCTAAACTCACATGGGTCATTCAGCGCAAGACGCAATGGAGGCTTGAGGGAAGATGTTGGCCGCATGTTAACGAACCTTTTTTTATGGACCGATTACGTTCATTTTTGGTGTACTATTAGAAGGTTATATCGAGTATGCTGTGCTGAAGTTTCAATCATATCGGCCAAAAAGGAAATGAAATATGCAAAATTTACGAAAAATTGCATTTGGCAGGGCACAGTTTGTCAGTGGTACTCGGACAAGTGGTTTTGACACTTGCTGCTGCTAGAACAACTCTAATTCCATCACTTGTCATTGACAATTCTAAAATAAACCTTATCTTCTTGCTAAAAAAAAATAAAGTTTCATAACTTTTTTGATATATTGGAAGATGTCGGTCTTGTTGCCCACATAAATCTAAAAATATTTGGGATAGTTCAGAAAGGTACACACTACCTTGTAAAGCAATCATTCTCCTATGTTTGTTGTGAAAATCAAGTCAATTCATTCATAAATAAGGATGGAGTCCCCCTAAATAGGTAAATAAGTTACTTTCGAGATATAGGCCGCAGCGCGCGGCACCCCCGCTGCCCGGGAAAAAAAATTTTCCCCGAAAAATTCGCTTTATTTTACACTTTTTCCGCGGCCTACGAGTGTTTATTACAGATAACCATTGTAAATCCGTTTTCTCTCATCACTGATGAGAGAGGGCGGACCCTCTCTTCACCTTCAGGGGAAATATCGATAGAAATTTATTCCTCGGGGCGTCATATTATGCTATATATTTTTTTTTGAGGTGTACTTTTTATGTTTATATGCTATTATTATATTGCATTATATCATAATAGATCAATTGTGATAGATAAATAAGCCTTATAATTGATATTAGCGTGGGTATGGAATATTTTGTTGGCTGGAGGTGTCGGCCATTTTATGCACTATTCCCAGGGGTTCCCGATTGGTTCCTTGATCACATTAGCTCCACCCACTCTGCAATGATCTCAGATGGTGAATTTGTATTATATTAGACATAAAAAGATGTACGAAAACGATAAAATAACACGGGGAAAAACGTAACGAAAACGTCAACAAAGCTGAGTCAGCGCTTCGTACGCACTATGTCGCGTCAGCGCTGTCACCATGCCTGTTATAAATGGCTGTAATTCCTTTTAGAAACATCGTACAAGGATAATAATTATACCAGCGTGTAGCCAGAAAGTTCAGCTATTTTTTGGTAACAATAACTCAGTTTTCATATATTTTCGAATTTTTTTTTGCTCCGCGCGCGGGAAACCTCAATCTCCCCTTAATCCTCTGTCTGCTGAACGCAAGACAGACGCGCTCCCTATACTGCCTGCAGCCTTCTACTTGTTGCAACATTCACCACCCATGCTTCACACCTATATAAGAGCATTGGTTTAACTATACTCTTTTTCATTCTCCTCTTTGCTTCCCCGTATAAGGTTCTTTGTTTCGACAGACTTCTCAGCGTACCACTCACCTGTTTCTGCTCAATAATTCTATGATTCACCTCATCTTTCATAGACGAATCTGCTGATACCTTTACTCCTAAATATCTGAATACATTCACCTCCGCCATAATTTCTCCCACCAATCTGATATCCAATCTTTCGTTACCTAATTTTTGTTATCCTCATCACTATAATCTTTCCTACATTCACTTTTAATTTTCTTCGTTTACATACCCTACCAAACTCATCCACCAACCTCTGCAACTTCTCTTCAGAATCTCCCAAAAGCACAGTGTCATCAGCAAAGAACAACTGTGACAACTCCCACTTTCTGTTAGATTCTTTATCTTTTAACTCCACACCTCTTGCCAACACCAGAGCATTCACTTCTTTTTCAACCCCATCTGTAAATATATTGAACAACCATGATGACATCACACATCCTGTCTAAGGCCTACTTTTACTGGGAAAATATCTCACTCTTTCCTTCATACTCTAACTTGAGCCTCACTATCCTCGTAAAAAATCTTCACTGCTTTCTGTAACCTACCTCCTACACCATACATCTGCAACATCTGCCACATTGCCGTCCCCCTATCCACCCTGTCATACGCCTTTTTCAAGTCCATAAATCCCACAAAAACCTCTTTACCCTTTTCTAAATACTATTCACCTATATGCTTCACCGTAAACACTTAGTCTACACACCCTTTACCCTTCCTAAAGCCTCCTTGTTCATCTGCTATCCTACTCTCCGTAGGAGGCCTGGTGGGGGAACCCGGTGGCCTGGTGGCTAAAGCTCCCGCTTCACACACGGAGGGCCCGGGCCCGGTGGCCTGGTGGCTAAAGCTCCCGCTTCACACACGGAGGGCCCGGGTTCGATTCCCGCCGGGTGGAAACATTCGACACGTTTCCTTACACCTGTTGTCCTGTTCACCTAGCAGCAAATAGGTACCTGGGTGTTAGTCGACTGGTGTGGGTCGCATCCTGGGGGACAAGATTAAGGACCCCAATGGAAATAAGTTAGACAGTCCTCGATGACGCACTGACTTTCTTGGGTTATCCTGGGTGGCTAACCCTCCGGGGTTAAAAATCCGAACGAAATCTTATCTTATCTTACTCTTAATTCTTTCAATAATAACTCTACCATACACTTTACCAGGTATACTCAACAGACTTATTCCCCTATAATTTCTGTACTCTCTTTTGTCCCCTTTGCCTTTATACAAAGGAACTATGCATGCTCTCTGCCAGTCCCTACGTACCTTACCTTCCGTACATTTATTAAATATAAGCATCAATCACTCCAAAACTATGTATATGTGTCGTGCCGAATAGGTAAAACTGGTCAAATAGCAACAACTCATTTAAAATTAAGTCCTTTCTAAAATTTTCTTTTATACGTTTAATATATCTCTTATACGTTTATATATATATATATATATATATATATATATATATATATATATATATATATATATATATATATATATATATATATATATATATACAGATAGACCGACGGACAGAGACAGAGAGACAGACAGATAAAAGCACAGGTATAGAGATGACAACAATACTGGATCATTTAGCAACACTCACCTTAATAATAAAATCAAGAAACTTTGTGATGATGGTAGTCATAATATTGAAGAAAGAATAAATACAGCATCCACCCATCACTAGCATCACCACATTGAAGAAGCTATAAGCATACAGGCCAGGCCCATAAGATTCGTTGAGTTCCTGTACACAAATATAAAATATACGTCACTCGCAAAATATACGTCACTCCGTCACTCGCAAAATTTTTGTACTCGTCTGTAACCTAAGATTTAAACAGAGAAAGATTATACGAAGCATTTATGTGCACTATTATTCTTCACATCAATATAAAGCAAATCTTTTGGTGTTCTCATACATGTTTTTAAGTGCTCTGGGTATTTGCAGTCCAGAGCTTACAAATGAAAATATAGGAAAAGGGTGGGTGGATTGCGAAAAGGATTTAGGAGTTCTGGTTAGTGGTAATCTAAAACCAAGACAACAGTGCATTAGTGTTCGCAATAAAGCTAACAGAGTCCTTGGCTTCATAGCAAGAAGTATAAATAATAGAAGTCCTCAGGTTGTTCTTCAACTCTATATATCTTTGGTTAGGCCTCATTTAAATTATACTGCACAGTTTTGGTCACCGCATTACAGAATGGATATAAATACAATGGAAAACGTACAAAGGAGGATGACAAAGTTGATCCCATGCATCAGAAATCTTCCCTATGAGGATAGACTGAGGGCCCTGAACCTGCACTCTCTAGAAAGGCGTAGAATTAGAGGGGATATGATTGAGGTGTATAAATGGAAAACAGGAATTAATAAAAGGGATGTAAATAGCGTGCTAAAAAATATCTAACATAGACAGGACTCGCAGCAATGGCTTTAAATTGGAAAAATTAAGATTCAGGAAGGATATTGGAAAGCATTGGTTTGGTAATCGAGTTGTGGATGAGTGGAACAAACTCCCGAGTACCGTCATAGACGCTAGTACGTTGTATAGTTTTAAAAATAGGTTTGATAAACATATGAGTGGGTGTGGGTGGATGTGAGTTGGATCTGACTAGCCTGTGCTACTAGGTCGGATGCACTGCTCCTCCCTTAAGTGACGTATCTGACCTCACTAGATCAAGGCATTGGCTTAAGCTGGTGGGAGAAATGGAGCTGCCTCACATAGGCTAGTAGGCCTGCGGCAGTGTTCCTTCTTTCTTTTATGTTCTTATTACCTCAAACTCCTCCTCTCCTAATACCCTTCTGATTTGTATGGGACTGATGAAGTCACTGTGTGGTGAAACGCTTCCTCAATAAAGATTCCCATGTGTTGCATAAGTGTCTCAATTTACATCAAAAATATAACTTTGTGTATTAGTGTTCAGAGTGAAAACTCCGACGTCCTCTCGCTGCGCCGTCCACTTGCAGAATGGGAATGAATCGATTGATAATTATTCCATTTTTTAGTGTCCTAATTATTATTTTTATTGACAATTTTTCAATTTCCTATGTGATTTAATAATCTATATTTGAAAATTTAAAAAAATTATGTGTTGATTAATAGAAATATTTCTTTTTTTAATCTTAATAGCAAGCTACTGAATTATTTTCATAAATTTCTGCATAGATTCATAATTTTATCGTTTAAAATTTACTTCATTATTTTTTTTTTGTGTGAACAGAGACAGCTCATCACTGAAATTAAATCATTTCCAGTAATCACTTTCTTCATTTTTGCAGTTTAATTTTAATTTTTGCACAGTTTAATTTAAGTAACCTAAGTAAAGTGAGGTTACTTTTCTTCACCCATTGTGATATGTAATTATATATATGGAGAGTTTGTCAAGTATCATTTCACAGTGTTCAGTGGTCAGTCGTCACGTGAGGTCACAGACCCTGAGCTGCTTTGGGGATTAGCGTGGACGGTTACAAAGCATGGCTTGCTTCTGCAGTGTTTTAAAAATTGAGGTTGGAGAGTTGAAGGAGGAGGTCTTGCTTCTCCAGGAGGAGTTTAGGAGGCTGAAGGTCCACCTCAATGGGTCTGGGAGAGAGTGTGAGGTGGCTGGAGTTGTGGGGAATGAGGCTTCTAGCAGTGAGGTGCAGTCTGTCTCTCGCTGTGAGGAGGCTGTAGGTGGGGAGGTAGGAACGGCTACCAGCAGTGAGGTGCAGTCCAGCACCTGCTACAAGTGGCGAGTGGTAACCAGTAATGGGAGGAGAATCAGAATAAGGAAAGTTAAGAGTGAAGATCTGAAGGTAGGAAATCGCTTCTCTGTTCTTCAGGATGAATGTACTTCAGTGGCCAGTGAAGGTAAGGGTACTACTGCTCCTTCTAACAGAGGTAAGCGCATTCTTGTGGTTGGTGACTCTCAGGTAAGATATATTGACCGTGCTTTTTGTAATAGGAATAAGAAGATGAGAGATAGAGTGTGCTTCCCTGGAGCTGGTGTTGGGGACATAGTTAACAGGCTGGATAATATCATGCCAGGTAATGGGAACAAGCCCATTATTTGTCTCAGTGCTGGTGGAAATGACATTGGGAAGGGTAGGAGAGAAGAGCTGCTAGGTAAGTACAGGTCAGCTATAGATTCATTAAGTCTAAGGGAGGGGTCCCAATCATATGTAGCATCTTGCCTAGAAGGGGAGTAGGAAATGAATGGTTGTCTAGGGCAATTGGTGTAAATTGCTGGCTAGACAGATACTGCAAGGAACTTGCAATCCCATTCATTGACAACTGGAACAACTTTTATGGCAAACATGATATGTATGCAAGGGATGGGGTACATCTCTCTGGGGCTGGGGTGGTAGCACTTGCAAACTCAATTGAGAAGGCCATTGGTGAAATGCCTATGATTTTAAACTGATAGAAGATAGAGGTATGGGTGTGTGGGGGAAACAAGCAGGTTGCAACACTAGGGTTGGAATCAGTAAATGTATAAAAGGCATTCAGCATGAAGTTATAAATAAAAACAATAGATCAGGTCAGCAAACAAAGGGGGACAGCAGAGGACAGCAAGGGACTAGCTCCCTTAAGGTTTACTATACTAATAGCAGGAGTGTAAGAAATAAGATATATGAGCTAAGATTAATTGCAAGTGCAGGAAACATAGATATTATTGCTATAACAGAGACCTGGCTCATTCTGAAAGATAGAGAGATGCCCTCTGAATGTCACATACAAGGCTATAAATTATTCCACACTGACAGGGTCAACAGGAAGGGTGGTGGAGTAGCGATGTATGTCAGAGACAATTTAAATTGTTGTGTTAGACAAGATATAAAAGTAGAAGCGTCAGCCACTGAATCTGTTTGGTTACAGCTTCTCGAGGGCCGAGAAAAACTAATTTTGGGTGTGATTTACAGGGCCCCAAATCTTGAAAGGGAGTGCAGTAAACTTCTATGGGACGAAATTCGTAAGGCATCTACATACGAAAATGCTGTGCTAATGGGAGATTTCAACTATAGACAGATTGACTGGAGCAATTTGACAGGAAATTTAGAGTCAGGTGGCTTTCTTGATACGATCCAGGATTGTTTTTTAAAACAGTTTGTGACAGAGCCAACTAGAGGAAATAACCTCCTTGACTTGGTTCTTGCCAGTAGGGAAACACTAATTAATAATCTTGAGGTTAATGATGAGCTCGGGGAAAGTGATCACAAATCACTCAGTTTTAATATATCATGGAATTCCCCTAATAATGGCAATCAAGTCTCCGTCCCTGACTTTCGCTTGGCTGATTTCATAGGACTGAAAAATTACTTAGGTGGGCTGAACTGGAATGACCTGACTAAGGGTCAGGTAGGTGGTGATGGTTGCCGATATGATGCTTTCCAGGGCATAGTTCTAGCTGCTCAGTCAAATTATGTTCCAAATAGGGAAATCAGATCAAACAAAATGCTCCTAAATGGATGAACAATAGATTAAAATATCTGAGTGGTCAAAAGAGAGGCATATATAGGCAAATCAAAAGAGGAGAGGGGCAATTAAGAAATCGATATATTCAGTTAAAGAGAGAAATAAAAAAGGGAATTAGAAAAGCAAAAAGAGATTATGAGGTTAAAGTTGCAAGAGAATCGAAGACTAACCCAAAAGGATTCTTTTAGGTATACAGAAGTAAGATCAGGGACAAGATAGGCCCACTCAAAAGTTCCTCGGGTCAGCTCACTGACAGTGATAAGGAAATGTGTAGAATTTTTAACACATACTTCCTCTCAGTTTTTACACAGGAGGATACCAGCGATATTCCAGCAATGATAAATTATGTAGAACAGGACGATAATAAACTGTGCACGATTAGGGTCACAAGTGACATGGTCCTTAGGCAAATAGATAAATTAAAACCTAACAAATCCCCAGGCCCTGATGAACTGTATGCAAGGGTTCTAAAGGAATGTGAAGAGGAGCTTAGCACACCTTTGGCTAATCTTTTCAACATATCACTACAAACTGGCATGGTGCCAGATAAGTGGAAAATGGCAAATGTGATACCTATTTTCAAAACAGGTGACAGGTCCTTAGCTTCGAACTATAGACCAATAAGCCTAACCTCCATAGTGGGAAAATTTATGGAATCAATAATTGCCGAGGCAGTTCGAAGCCACCTTGAAAAGCATAAATTAATCAACGAATCTCAGCATGGTTTTACAAAGGGGCGTTCCTGCCTTACGAATTTATTAACTTTTTTCACTAAGGTATTTGAAGAGGTAGATCATGGTAATGAATATGATATTGTGTATATGGACTTCAGTAAGGCTTTTGACAGGGTCCCACATCAGAGACTATTGAGGAAAATTAAGGCACATGGAATAGGAGGAGAAATTTTTTCCTGGATAGAGGCATGGTTGACAAATAGGCAGCAGAGAGTTTGCATAAATGGGGAGAAATCAGAGTGGGGAAGCGTCACGAGCGGTGTTCCACAGGGGTCAGTGTTGGGCCCCCTGCTGTTCACAATCTACATAAACGACATAGATGAGGGCATAAAGAGCGACATCGGCAAGTTTGCCGATGACACCAAAATAGGCCATCGAATTCATTCTGACGAGGACATTCGAGCACTCCAGGAAGATTTGAATAGACTGATGCAGTGGTCGGAGAAGTGGCAGATGCAGTTTAATTTAGACAAATGCAAAGTTCTAAATGTTGGACAGGACAATAACCATGCCACATATAAACTAAATAATGTAGATCTTAATATTACGGATTGCGAAAAAGATTTAGGAGTTCTGGTTAGCAGTAATCTGAAACCAAGACAACAGTGCATAAGTGTTCGCAATAAAGCTAATAGAATCCTTGGCTTCATATCAAGAAGCATAAATAATAGGAGTCCTCAGGTTGTTCTTCAACTCTATACATCCTTGGTTAGGCCTCATTTAGATTATGCTGCACAGTTTTGGTCACCGTATTACAGAATGGATATAAATTCTCTGGAAAATGTACAAAGGAGGATGACAAAGTTGATCCCATGTATCAGAAACCTTCCCTATGAGGATAGACTAAGGGCCCTGAATCTGCACTCTCTAGAAAGACGTAGAATTAGGGGGGATATGATTGAGGTGTATAAATGGAAGACAGGAATAAATAAAGGGGATGTAAATAGTGTGCTGAAAATATCTAGCCTAGACAGGACTCGCAGCAATGGTTTTAAGTTGGAAAAATTCAGATTCAGGAAGGATATAGGAAAGTACTGTTTGGTAATAGAGTTGTGGATGAGTGGAACAAACTCCCGAGTACAGTTATAGAGGCCAGAACGTTGTGTAGCTTTAAAAATAGGTTGGATAAATACATGAGTGGATGTGGGTGGGTGTGAGTTGGACCTGATAACTTGTGCTACCAGGTCGGTTGCCATGTTCCTCCCTTAAGTCAATGTGACCTGACCTGACTAGGTTGGGTGCATTGGCTTAAGCTGGTAGGAGACTTGGACCTGCCTCGCATGGGCCAGTAGGCCTTCTGCAGTGTTCCTTCGTTCTTATGTTCTTATGTTTACATAATCCCTTCTGTTGTACCGTAATTTCGTATTCGTTGCTCATGTTTCTGTGTTTCCTCTGTAACAGTGTCGGAATTACCCGCAATTTAGCAGTGTTAATACGATTGTGAATAACCTAAGACAATATACTCATGAAACATCTCAAAATTCCAGTCTCAAAACCCTAGGCTGACAGACATACAACCGTCCATAGACAATATTTTTATTATCGAGAGCTTCTCAACACTGTACCAGTGTTTGATGACAACCCAGGTATTCTTGAAGCTTGGTTCAATGCAGTTCGAAATGCGGTTAATAATGAATCTGGTGGTCAGGCATCAGAAGACGCTATAATTAGACTTGATAAAGACAGTCTTACCAGATCTCCTTCGCCTGAAGAAGCCAGTCCTCCATCACGACCACCATACTCATCACTATCACTGTCTGATGGTTGTGAAGCGCGTGGTAGCTGCCCTGGGCAGGGCGCGTGGCACACTTCCTGGCCTAGTACATCGCCGCACATATTTCCGTTTCACTGACGAATATTGTAGTACCATCAGTGCATTTATGACCACTGATTAGATCTTAAGAAAAAATGTAGAGAAATCCTCAATTTCCGTTTGCACTGATATCGGTTGGTTGCTGGTTGGGAGACCCAGAGATGGATAGCATGTGGTCGACAACATAAGTATTAAACTCTGAATTCCAAGTCCCCATCACTATCCACAGTATCAGTTTCATCCCAAGAGCCAAGTAGGAGGTTTCCTCCTTAGAGTAAGCGTTTCACGACGGTGTGATATGGCAAACAATGTAGTGGCTTCCACTATCTCCTACAATGTAGTGACTTCCACTAGCTCCCACAATGCAGTGGCTTCCACTAGCTCCTACAATGCAGTGGCTTCCACTAGCTCCTACAATGTAGAGGCTTCCGCTAGCTCCTACAATGTTTACCACACACCAGAAATGTGTATATACTGTGCACACACACGGTGTATACCCGATTTCTCTGATGTAAGCCTAACCCAGCCGATCGCAGTCATTTTGGAGATGCTGGAATGCAGGTATAAATTTACATCATTGGTAGACTTGTTATCGGCAGTTTAAGGAATAAAGAAGAAAGGAACTTCACGTAAACTGAAAGACATTTACAATGTGATATCAAGAGATTTTCTGGAAGTTTTTCTTCAGACATTACATGATATTCAATATTGGGACCTTTTTTTCCTCAAGAAAGTCGGCATTTTTTAAGTTAAAGATTTTCATTACTTGCCTTAGATGACTTCAGATTTTTGAGACTTACAACTCTTGTAATACACACCAGTTAACTTTATATAAACGTGGGACAAAAAGACTTCCCATAATAAAGATGCCAATATTTTCAGTTCTCTTTGAATGTGTGGTTCTAGATATTGTGGGTTCAGCCTCCTTGTTTATTTGGAACAGCGGTTCTCAACCAGGGGTAAATTTACCTTCTTGGGGGTAAAAAATTACATGACAAGGGATAAATATTTGTCTGCTATTTTTGTGCAAAACCTAAATAATTTTCTTTTTTGCCCCTTTATGATGGCGATAAACTTTTTGTATGGAAGTAAGGTTAAGTGGAGAAATACATCAAACCAATGGGGGTTAATGATGGAGGAAACGTTGAGAATCTCTGATTATGAGGCTGCAAACACATTCCAACCTTAATAGATTATGCCACTAAATTTCCTGAAGCTTTTCCTTTGACGTCGGTAACTTCTATACATGTGTGAGAATTGTTTACCCTTTCTGAATGAGTTACTATCTGCCGACCTTCCTGGAGGTAGGTAGGCAGGTAGAGGGAGAGCGAGAGACTGAATGATTAAGTAGAGCAATTTACTTCTGACCTCTTCGATTAGCCTTAAACTATAGAATTTCACCAAAGAATACAAACATTCTATGGTAAAATAGAATGTTTGCATGCGATTTTAAAGTCCACATTTAGAAAGTGTGTAAATTAAAAAAATAAATTAAGTACATCCGCATCTGGACTCAGCCTTCCATAATTCTTGCCTCCCTTGAGCTTAGCCTTACCTCAACAGAGATAAAGTCTCCAAAGCCGAGGGTGGAGAATGAGACAAAACAGTAGTAGAGGGAGTCGAGGTACGTCCATCCCTCTACCTGTAGGATACAAAAGGAACATTAATACTGTGCAAAGCATTCCTCTTCACATATCCACATTCTTTTCTCCGTTTTCCTCTCTTAAAATTCTTTTCCTCATTGTTTGGATCATCATTTGTAAATATAGGAAGCATCCAGATTGGTGAACAGCAGTGGAGTAAACTGCACGTGGTGAACAGCAGGGGTGTTCACCACATGTGGCTCGTGGGCCGAAGGTGATCTGTGTGTCTGTGTGGCACACCAAAGATTTTTGCATTTTCATCTACTAATTAAGTTAATTAAACTGCAATAAACTGAATAAAAAAAGTCCTTATTGCTAAATCTGAGACGAGGTATGGAGAGTGAGCAGCCGGCATACTGCAAGTCAAGCATGAGTCATGAAGTATTTACATAGTCTTTGAGTGTGAAAGCTTTGTGCTAATGTTACAGAGACTAGTGTTTCCCTACTAGACCACATCTGAACCAATACCATATCCCCCTTAAGATCAGGCATAATCACAGATAATACCACAGACCATTACCCTACCTTCCTCATAACAAACCTTGGCAAACTACCCCTAGACACTACTAAAGTCACTTTCAGACTTCACAATGAGGCAGCTATCAATAACTTCACAGCAGCAGTGACAAACAGTGACTGGCACACTGAGCTAGAAATCTGTACAGATATTGGCGAATGTATTAATAATTTTTTAAAAAAGACCCAATACCTCTATAACAAGCACTGCCCTAAAAAAAAAAAGATGACTGCGAAGAGACTGAACAGTCCCTGGCTAACACCCAGTATCCTCAAATCCATAAATACAAAGCACCAATACGAAAAACCGTACAGAATTGGTCACATAACCAGAGACCAAACAAAACGTTACTCGTCAATCCTAACCAGCCTAATAAGAAGGTCTAAAAAATTGTATTATGAGAACAGATTATCCAACTTACGAGTTGACATAAAAAAGACCTGGAAAACCCTATCAGAAATACTAGGAACAAAAAAGATATCACGAAATAGCGAAATTGAATTAACAAAACCAGATGAACTCCAATTCCCTCCTACTGAAACAGCAAACAGACTCAATGATTTCTTCTCCACTATAGGAAAAAACCTTGCCAATAAAATCCCAAGCTCAGATACCCCACCCAATGACTACCTTACTGGCAACTACCCGAACACACTGTTCCTAGCTCCGACTAACCCAACTGAAGTCTCCCTTATTATCAACAAACTAAAAAACAAGACAGGAGATTTAAATACCTTACCACCCATTATATACAAAAAAGTGTCACAGGTGCTATCACCAATCATTGCAACACTCTTTAACAAATCCACTGAATCCTCTACCTTTCCTACAGTTCTCAAAATAGCAAGTGTCACCCCAATCCATAAAGGAGGAGACCACACAGACTTAAATAACTATAGGCCAATATCCAACTTACACCCTCTCTCTAAAATCTTTGAAAAATTAATCCATAAGCGTATCTATTCCTACCTCATTTCCCACACCATACTCAACCCCTGTCAATTTGGGTTCAGGCCTAATAAAAATACTAATGATGCTATTATCCACATGCTAGAACATATTTATGCAGCAATAGAGAAAAAGAAGTCCCACTGGGGATCTTCATTGACTTACGTAAAGCTTTCGATACAGTTGACCACGACTTGCTCCACATAAAATTGTCGCACTATGGTATAAGAGGGCACTCCCTCAACTACCTAAAGTCATACCTCAGCAACAGAAGCCAATATGTGTACACAAATGGGGCAAACTCTTCCGCAGAGCCAATTGCAGTTGGTGTCCCACAGGGAAGTGTCCTAGGCCCTCTTAAGAACATAAGAACATAAGAATGTAGGAACACTGCAGAAGGCCTACTGGCCCATACGAGGCAGGTCCTTATCAAAACGACATCTACCTAAAGCTACTCAAGAAACAACTCCCGCACCCCCCAACACCAATCAAACCCATATACACAAATGACCTACCAAATGCATCGCAACTACTCAACCCCACACTATTTGCAGATGATACTGCATACGTCTACTCTCACCCGAGCCCAGTCATGCTAGCCAATACTGTAAATACCGAATTACAGAAAATATCAACTTGGATGAGGACCAACAAACTTACTCTAAACATTGACAAAACCTACTACATTCAGTTTAGTAACAGAGCTTCAGATGTGTCTCTAAACATAATGATAAATGGGTCACCTATCACAAAACTCACAGAAGGAAAATTCCTAGGAATCCACCTTGATAATAGACTCAAATTTCAAACACATGTACAACAAATTTCCAAGAAAAAATTCCAAGACCGTAGGCATACTATCGAAGATACGGTACTATGTTCCACAGTCAGCCCTCCTGGCCCTATATTATTCACTTATTTACCCCTATCTCACCTATGGAATTTGTGCATGGGGCTCAACAACAATAAACCATCTCAGACCACTAATCACCCAACAAAAGGCTGCAGTCAGAATTATAACAAATTCCCACTACAGACAGCACACTCCACCAATATTCAAAACTCTAAACCTACTCACAATACAAAACATCCATACTTATTACTGCACCTACTACATACATAGAACATTTAACTCTGATATAAACCCTCCCCTCAAACATCTCCTTACCAACCTCAACAGAACACATGACCATAACACAAGGCACAGATCACTCTTTGATGTTCCTCGTGTCCATCTCACACTATGCAAAAACTCAATGCACATAAAAGGCCCTAAAATCTGGAATTCATTACCTGTGAATATAAAAGAAACACTGTTTATAAATTCAAGTATCTTCTCAAAAATCACTTACTCACCCACAACTAAATAAATACTGAATAATTGTGTCTCATAAATTGTATCTCATATATGTATCTCATTATTGTATCTCATAAATGTCAACCTGTGACCCAATCAAACTTTGTTACTATTTAACTTCATTACCTAACATAATACTCCATTCTACTGATTACACAACAACACAGTAAATGACCATATGACCTGTCTTTGTAATACTCATTTGCACTAAATTGTTATCCGTTTTACAATAATTTTTGTACCACTGAATATATCATTGCTTAGTTAATCTTAAGTTAATTTTAAGCCTGCCCATAATGCTCTGCATACAAGGGGCTTTGGCATGCTGCACCTTAAAAATTGTATTCCTTGTACTTCTCTGTATCATGTTCAAATTAATAAATAAATAATTAATTAAATAAATAAATAAATAAATAAATGTCTCTTCCTCCCTTATTTTATGTATATAAATATTCATACATACATAAGCATTTATAATAACACGCTCCAATATATTACACACACACATGCAATATATTACACACACACATGGAAGAGAGGTTAGCAGCAGAATGCAGAAGGTGGAAGCAACAGGCCACAGAAGCAGAAATCAAGATAGAGAGATTAGAAGAGGAGCTGAGACATCTGAAACAGCACAGAGACAAAGATATTACAGAAGTAGCATCGGCAATGGCTACATCGAACACAGACAACAGGTCCGAAGGAAGCATGGAAACTAAACTGTATGCAGAGGTCCTGCCAAACCCACATGGGGCCAAAACAAAGACAGGGAGCACTCTAGGACAGAAAGAGAGGTTGGAAGACATCGAAGGAACTAGGACATGTGCAAGGACCTTACCAGATACCTGTGGGGGCCAGGAGCAGGTGAGCAGGAAGGATAAACCAAGAAGCATAGGGGCCATAACGAGGGAAGGGACTGAAGGAAGGAACACTCCACGGGAAGGAACTAAAACACATCAGAGGATGCAATGGGAGTCACAGTGGGAGGTGGAAAGGGAGAGATCCGTGTTTGTCTATGGGCTAGACGAAGCTAAAGGGGAAACTTATGATGAAAGAAAGCAGGAGGAGAAAAAAGCGATTGAAGACATCATGAAGGTGATAGGCGAGGGGGACATGACCCAGGTGGCAAATTTTCGGAGAATTGGGTGGTTCACAAAGAAAAGGAATCGGCCTCTCAAAGTAATTTTCAAGGCAGAATCAACCCGAACCATGATCCTGCAGGAGAAAGCACGGCTGAGAGGCAAGCAGGAGTTCCGGAGTATGTACCTCGACCGAGACAGAACACAGGACGAAAGGAAGACAATGAAAGAGAGAGTTCAAAAACGAAAGGAGAAATGGGAGGAAATGAAAAAGGAGAGCAGAATAACCCAGGATCAGATGGAAGGACAAGCGCACCCCCCAGAAACACCTGCAGAAGGACTCCAGCCACGACACCCCCAAGGCAACTGAACAATCCAAACCAACCATCACACACCGATCCCTCTGTTTCCACCCCCGCACCACAGTTACAGTATTAGAACAGAAGTTGAAGGTTTGGTACACAAATGCAGATGGATTAACGAATAAACATGAGGAATGGCAAGAAAGAATCAATGAGAAGTCCCCAGACATCATAGCAGTTACAGAAACAAAACTCATGGAGACAATAACAGATGCAATCTTCCCACCAGGATACCAGATCATGAGGAAAGATAGAAGGGGCAGGGGGGGAGGTGGGGTTGCTCTGCTCGTAAAAAACAGATGGAAATTCGAGAAAATGGAAGGAATAGATGAGACGGGAGAAAGAGACTACATAGCAGGTACACTTCAGTCGGGGAACACAAAGTGGTCATTGCAGTGATGTATAATCCACCACAGAACTGCAGGAGGCCAAGAGAGGAATATGAAGAGAGCAACAGAGCAATGGTGGACACACTTGCTGAGGTGGCAAGAAGAGCTCACTCCAGCAGAGCAAAGTTGCTGGTTATGGGGGATTTCAACCACAGGGAGATTGACTGGGAAAACCTGGAGCCACATGGGGGTCCCGAAACATGGAGAGCCAGGATGTTGGACGTGGTGCTGGAAAACCTCATGCACCAACATATTAAGGACACTACCAGAGTGAGAGGGGAGGATGAACCAGCAAGATTGGACCTTGTGTTCACCCTGGGCAGCTCAGACATTGAGGACATCAAGTA